CTGGGCCTGTGCACAGGTCCACGTTTTTTGTTCTTCCTCTGCACCTGAAGGTCAGTGGAGTGTCCTGCTATTTCTGAGAATAACCGAGCTTCCCCATAGGCTATTTCCAGGAAAATCAGTGTCATCATTCTGGCCGCTGGGCCCTGGATCACTTGGAAAAGATTTGCAAAGGAAATATGAGCTTGACAGGAGAAACTGGACTTCACCACTTGGGCATCACTAAAACCCAGTTTACAGTCAAGTAGAAGTGATGGCTGAACCTTGAGCTTGGCCCTTTAGCCCCGGGGAATGAATGACCAGACTGGTAGGTCAGTATAGTTACACATCGCTTAATGACAGGGACACATTCTGAGAACTGCGTCCTTAGGTGAGATCGTCATTGTGTGAACATCACAGAGTGTACTTACACAAACCTAGATGGTGGAGCCTACTACACACCTGCACGACATGGTGCTAAGCTTCTGGGACCACTGATGTATGTGCGGTCCTTCGTTGACCAAATCGTCGTTACGTGGCATGTGACTGCAGCTCGTTTCATGTCCCTGGACTGCTGGTGAAAAAAATTAGGAAACTGTTTTGCTAAAGAAAGATGCCAGATTCAACAACGTGGATGAACCTTGAGGACATCGTGCTAAGTGAAATAAGCCTGTCACAGAAGGACAAATACTGCATGATTTCACTAATATGAGATATCTGAAAGAGTCAAACTCACAGAAGCAGAGTAGAGTGGTGGGTGCCAGGGGTTGGGGGAGGGAGATATGGGGAGTGGCTGTTCACCAGGTATAAAGTTTCAGACATGCAAGATGAATAAATTCTAGAGATCTGCTGTACAACAGCGTGCCTAGAGTTAACAATACTGTACTTACACTGAAAAATTTAAGAGAGTGGATCTCATATTAAGTGTTCTTACCACAACAACAACAAAAAAAAAAACAAAAGGAGGTTATAGAGCAGTATATCCAATCCCACTGGTGTTCATACCCACCAATCTATCCATCCATCCATCCATCCATCACTCACCCCAGACTTTTAACTCTGGGAATCTCTGGTGAATGACAGGTAAGGATTTTATTGTGGCAAGGAGGGGAGTTTCACTTCCTATGCAATGTGCCTCTGTTGTATTGTTTGGGTTTGTTATAAGTAACATTTTAATAATAAAAATATTTATAATAAATCATATTTCTGTTTGTAAAAGTGGAAGCATGTTCCATGTTCAACTAATATGTCACTTTTTTTCATGCCTCTAAACTCTCATATGTGCCTCAAAACTCAGCTCCCAAGTCACCTTCACCTCCCCTGGGGGGTGTCCCATGAGTCCTGTCCTCATTTAAATTCCCACCGGCCTGCTCCCGTGGCACGTGGACACCCCACTGTGCCCGTGAACGCTGTCTGACCCCCTAGGCAAAAAGGGAGCATGCTGGGAGGATTAGGGATGTTCCTGGGAACCCAGGGCAGAGATGAGTCTCAGGAACCATCAGAAATCAGATGGTCTCTCTTTTTCTCTCATCTTCCTGTCATCATCTTTGTGACAGAAGCTTCATAAGGACAGAAATGTCTTCCTTTTTTTCTCTGCTGCATCCCCAGGCCAGGCACACAGTAGGCCCTCAATACGCACCTGTTGAGTGAAGGAGGCGGCCCGCGCCTGCTGCTCTCTGTTCCCTCCAGATGAACTTCATTGCTCCGCTGTGCTGCGAGCTGGGCCAGACAGGCCCCAAATGTCCTCTCCTTCCTGCAAGCTGCAAGAAGAGGGTGATCAGCTGCCCTGAGTTCTCTTTCCAAATTCCCGGGAGAGGGAAGTGATGGGCTCAGCTCAGAGTGACCAGCAGGTGTAACCGTGGTCTCATCAGCTGCAGCCAGGTGCAGGGTCCCACAGCAGAAACACCTGTGCAGGCTTCATGGCGGGGATGGGCAGACACCCCCAAGGGGCCTCTGCACCATCTGGGGTAGGAAAGGGAGGGGACTGCACAAACACAGAGACAAGCCAGGGTGACCCCCGGGAGCTGGGTGAGGGGAGAGTTTGTGGTGACAACTTAGGATAAAAGAGGTTGAAAATGAACCACGGAGCTACCTTAATGATGACAACGTCAGAAGTGATTTATCTCTTGCAAGTTACCATTAATCAGACCTCAGTTAACTTGGAGCACAGCCGCTGATCTGGAAATTAACACATTTGCCCTCCAGCCACAGGCCTGGGCCTCTCTGGACCAGAAGCCCCAGACCACCGTCACCGCGGCTGGAAGTGGATGCTGATAAACCGCAGCCAGGCCGCCCAATTAGGTTGCGAGCCGGAGCTGCGGACTCCCATTAGAAAGGCCTCCGAGCGAGGAGCCGGGACGCTTTGCTATGCAAAGCAGCGGGCGGGGCTGCCCGTCGCCGGAGAGATGCGGGCCGTGCGCTCGCGTCGTTCCGTGGGGAGCGATCTACACGCGCAGGAGCCTGTAGGGCCACCGCCGGCGGGGCGCACCGGCCGCTGCACACCCGAGGGGCGCGCCCGGACATCGTGCCGCGCGCATCTTAATGAAGCCCGCGCTGTCCCCACGTCCACGGCGGCGCCGGGGTCCAGCCAACACCGGCGCCACGAATCCAGGAGGCCAGGGGCGGCGGGGACAGCTCCTCCGCGGGGCCGGGGGGCTGGGGCCGCACAAGCCGGAGGTGTCCTCTGCAACCCTGACAGCCACAGCGGGGAAGCAGGTGCTCTGCCTGTCATCACGTGGAGCACAGGGACGGACAGAGTGGACTTCGGTCCTGACCCCATGCTGCCACTCACCACGTGCGGCCTTGGGCAAGTTATGTAACTCCTCTGAGCCCCAGTTTCCTCACCTAGCAATAAAAACAGCACTGAGCTCAGGGGAGTTGAGAGAATTAGATGAGACTGATGACGACTACATTCACGAAGCAGGTGCTGCGTGCCATGCCCTGTTCTCAGCCTCTATATGTATTAACCCATTTCATCCCACAACACCTGCTTAGTCTTGCCAAGGAGGCAATGACTATTTTGTTCTCATTTTACAAGGATCCAGAGAAGTTAAGTAATTTACCCAAGGTCACACAACAGCATGAGGACCCAGGCTGCTTGGTTCTACAGCCCACGCGGTGGCGGGGACACGGCCGGTCTTACAGAGCGGCCACAGAGCAGGCATAACTGCTCCGAGGGGGAGGTGGCAGGTGGATGAAGAGGAAGGCTAATGGTCGTCCAGAGAGTAGGTCATCCACAAAGTAAGCGTTACTATGTGAACTAAATAAATGAATGTTTATGTCTTTGGCTAGGGATTTACATCCAAGTGGCGTTTCATTGAGAGTTCTTAAAGTGAGGCCACATTCTCTGGTACCCGGAACGACAAGCAGAGTGGGAGGATGGGAGTAAGCGAAGTGATCCCTAAGCCAGGCTGGGGCTGGCCACCTTCCCGGTTTACTGTCCCCTCCAAGCTGGGGGTGCTGCGGACAAGTAGGCAGAGTGTTATCACACAGCATGGAGCGTTGGCAACCTGGCCACGTGGTCTGTAACCGGGACCCCTGCTGGGGCCTCCCGGGGCCTGAGGAGGCCTAATGGGCAGGAGCCCATTGTCAGGGGACTTTCAGGGTAGACACCCTTTTCCCTGTGGGGGTTGGGAAGAAGTGGGGCCTGGGCAGGGGAGGGCCCTTAGAGTTTCAAGAGATGGTACCCAGCGCCTGAGCAAGGCAAGGAGAGAGGGATGCGAGCTGAGCTGCCTACCAGAGGGGAAGGTGCAGGGCTAGGACACCACCTCTGGAGAGAGGGCCCAGCCCCGTGGGCCTGGCCCGGGGCACAACCTGCCTGTGCCCGGGGCAGCAGCAGCAGGGCAGGCCTGGAGGCATGGCTCAGTGCACACCAGCTGCGGGCTGGCACGGTCACTGGCTGCCACGGCTGGAGGGACCCTGGGCTGCCCCAGGCTAGAAAGGGCTTCAGCCATCAGGCCCAGAGTCCCCGAGCTTCCCAGAGCCCAGAGCTGGAAGCCCAGTCTCAGGCCCAGGCTGGCCTGGCCTGCAGAGGCCCCGCAGGCAGAGAGCACCAGAGCACTGGGTTCAGGTCTAGCCGTGGATCCGGGTGACCTCAGGCCAGTCACTTACCCTCTGCGGCTTCACGTCCTCTCCTGTCAATGGGGGGTCACCCACATACCTTCCTAACGAGGTGAAAGGAAACAGTGGGAGGGGGCAGGGGCCACAAAAGAGAGTTAAGGGCTCCTGTCCCCTAAGAGTTCACTGTCCTGTCCCTCTGGCGTCCACTTCAAGTGAAAATTGAATAAAATTTAAAACCATCTCTTCAGTTGCACTAGCCACGTTCCAAGTGCTCAACAGCTGTCTGCAGCTAGCAGCTGCCATATTGGACAGTGCACAGAGAGAGCACGCCCATCATTCCAGAGAGTTCTACTGGACGGCGCTGCTCTAGAGACAGGCGCTTTTTAAAAATTACATTTCTTGGGGGCTGGCCCAGTGGCATAGCGGTTAAGTGCACGCGCTCTGCTGCAGCGGCCCAAGGGTTCGCAGGTTCAGATCCCGGGCGCGCACTGATGCACCGCTTATCAAGCCATGCTGTGGCGGCGTCCCATATAAAGTAGAGGAAGATGGGCACGAGTGTTAGCCCAGGGCCAGTCTTCCTCGGCAAAAGAGGAGGATTGGCATTGGATGTTAGCTCAGGGCCGATCTTCCTCACACACACAAAAAAAACGACATTTCTTGAGAGCGTCCTGTGTGCTAGGGCCCATGCTGAGAGCCTTACCTGCGTCACCTCCTTTAGTCCCACAGCAATCCCGTGAGGCAGGGACCATTAGCACCCCCACTTTGGTTGTGAGAAAAGAGAGGCTCCAAGGGTTCAGTGACTTGTCCAAGGGGGCACCGTGCATTGGTGCTAGAGCCGAAACTCAGCCCAGGTCTGACCCGGCCTGCTGCACCCTCTTCACCACCTCCCGGGGCTTTGCCCGTCCTGTGGTCCCAGACCCCAGAACAAGGCCATCTTCCAGCCACCTCACCTTCAGAACACACGGGACTGCACCCAGAGCTCTTTATTGGCCTAGCTGAGGCTCCAGAAGGCAGTGGGGGCGGGGGGGCGGGCGGGTAACCTTGTTTCCCTGGGGGCTGCTCCTTGCTCAGAAGCCGTCAGGGCACTTTCCTGGGCAGGGGATTGATGATCCCACTCTCTATGTATTCAAAGACCGTGTGCGGGTCCTGGTCCCCGTTGAGGGTGAGGGCCTGCCAGTAGAACTCCTCCAGCTCCGCGGAATTCCTGTAGAACAGGTCCATTTTGAGCTTGATGTGTTCCTCAGCATCCTTGGGGCTCTGCAGGAGACGGGCTTGGATTTCCATGGTTGGAGGTGGCTTGTACATGAGGTGGTACCTGCGAGAGAGGAGGGGAAGCGGGTGACCCACGGTCTGGCCCAGACGGCAGGGGAGAAGGGGGCTTCTGTCCCGCTGTTGACCGAGGTGGCCAGCATCACCACCACCACCAGACGTTTACTGTGCACCAGCTGTGTGCACACCTTGCCCAGCGGAGAGGGATTCAGATCAATAATAGGGGTACAGCATAAAAAAATATATTAAACGTCAACTCCTTTCTTTCCTTCATCCCCGTCCTTTCTTTTTCCTTCCAAACAACATTTATGAGGCATCTGCTATATGTCCAGCAGGATATCTGCTATTGACAATGCAATGGCCAGCAAGACAGAGGTTGACACTGTCTTTATGGAGCTTACAGTCAGATGGGGGGCATTATAACAACAAATGTGAGCGGACATGACAGGAAGTGCCACAGACAGCCACTGTTGGGAGAGACCCCAGGGGCAGGGCAACAAGAAGGCCAACATACTTGACGTGGGTCAGCAAAAGACGTCCCCCAGCAGCAAGGATGTGAGATCAGGCCTATAGTTTAGAAAAACCCCGGTATTTCCTTCCTGCCCCTCCCCACTCCACTCCTGAGTCCCTACCAAGAAACGTGGCCTGGTTACCAAGAAACGTGGCCTGGTTACCAAGAAACATGGCCTGGGTACCATACCAAGGAAGCTTCTACCTCTCTGTGATTGTGGGGACTTTAAACCACATTTCAACACGAACACGGTGATTGTACTTGGTCAGACTGCAGAATAAAACCCAGAATTTACCCCTTGTAACTGTGGGAAGGCTCACAAGTGAGCTGGTTCCCATGGGGATGTGTTTGTACAGCAACCACCCTGGGACACACTGCAGCGAGAGCAAAGGCCAGTGAGAGGTACAGGTGACACCTGCCCAGTGCAGCCATTTCACATGCTGGGTCAGAGGTGTCGCCTGGACAGAAGGGGTGAACATTTCACCAATTTCTGTAGAGCCTTGGACATTAATGTCCTACTTACTCTTCCAGGCAAAGAGGGTCGACACACGCTGCCCAGAGGGGCTAGTTGGACGAACCCCCTTTCTAGAGTTTCTGTCACCAGTGTCATCCCGGAGCCATCCCGCCATGGGATCGGTCAGCCAGATGGAGAGAGGAGCCTCCTTGGGGGGGCCTGGCCCCTGGAGCCCTCAGATGGCCACCCACTGGGAGCCCGGCACAAACCTTTCTCCCGTGACAGGATCGGTTCTTCTCAGGGTCAGCCGCTCAATGACAGTATCGAATGGCACATTCAGGAAGAACACCCTGCAGGGAAAGAAACAGCCCACAGTCAGCCCACGGTCAGCCCACAGTCAGCTGGAGAGAACCACAGGCCGGATGCTCGTTCCCGAGACCAGGGTGGGCATCATGCCCCGCACACACATGGGAGAGCCTAGGGAGCCATCTCTCGGGGGGCCGGGGGACCAAACTCTCGGAGGTCACCAGGGACAGATACAGGTGGGGGCTCCTGCCGTGGAAGCTCTCTGCAGCCCGATTCAGGGTCAGCTCCCAGCCCCCATCACTCTGGGGGGACTCCCCGGGGGCACTGTTCAGGTGAGCTGTGGGGGAGCAATTCCCTGACCTTCTCTGGAGTCACAGGGACTTGGGTTAGAATCTCAGCTCCACCATGAACCTGCTGTGTGACCTCAGGCATCTAACATAACCTCTCTCAGACTCAGTCTCCTCAACTGTGAAATGGGGCTAATAAGAGATCCCTGGTGATGAAGATTTAATGAGACAGCGTGTGTGACGAGTGTAGTACAGGGTTTGTGCATACTTGGTACCCAAACATGGCAGCTAGTGCCATAATTTAATCACTATCATCCCTGAGTACCCCTCCTGAGAGTCCAGGCTCCCCGACTGCCCAGTGCCCCCTGGAGAGGCAGGGCTGGTTGTGCTCAGCTTCCTCACCGTCTCTCTCACGAAGGAGCCCAGACCCAAGGGAGCAGGGCGCTCCAAGGTCAACAGCCCACATCAGCCCAGCGGGAAAGACACGGCCTTGCCTCTGACAACTCAGCACTCAGCCAGGGGTGCTGGGAACACACCTCCTTCACCCCAGTTCAGAGAGCTTCATCCTCCCTGCTCTGGCAATGGAACCCCTTCTTTATATAAAACCTAAGGAGAAATGTTCTCAGTTGGAAGTGATTTTGCCCTGAAAAGACATTTGGCAACATATGGGGACATTTTTGGTTGTCACAACTGGGGCAGAGGCCAGGAATGTTGCTAAACACTCCAGAACGTGTAGGACAGCCCCCACCACAAAGAATTACCCCCAATGTCAGTAGTGCCGGCGTGGGACAAATGAGACAGGCAAGAGGTGCTGCTGCTCTGGTTGGGAGAGGTGGGCTGGGGGCGAAGGCCCAAGTGTCCGTGGCTCCTGCCCATGGATCTAATCCAGACCCTGTCGTCTAGCATTAAACCATCCCGGTTTGTTTTTTAAAAATAACTTCTGGAATATTCCATTGCTTACTTACTGTTTACTCATTTGTCTTTTAATTAATTCAGACATATGTTGATCGAGTGCCTGCTATGTGCCAGGCACTGTAGCAAGCTCCCGAGTTTAGCAGCCCATTGTATGGAACTGAGACATGACATTTAATAGAGTTGATATCATTGACATACATGCAACTTCCATTGGGGACATCAGTGACAAAAAACAGCCCCTGTGCACCCAAAGCCTTGTTCATTTCACTTCCAAGTAAACTCAGGCGAGAAGCACCTCTAGTGTAAGAATAAAAACGCACATAAATGAGATTTCCCACCCTCACTCTTAGGCGGGCAGTCTTTTTAGGATGGAGACTCTGGCTCCTCCAACTCAAGGAACAAGAGAGCCCCTCACCGTCATCCTGGGAATTCACCACACATGTCGATCGGGTCCCAAGAGACCAAGCTTTGGTGGGTCCAATGGGACACTGGTCCGGATGGTACCTGGACCAGCCTCTTAGGCCCAGGTGCCACCTGCTAGGGCCAGAGCAACGACTGGCCCCCAGCCAGTGTCCTGACACCCAGCAAGCGCTCAGGAAACACTCGTGGAGGCATAAATAAATGAATAAATCGTACACAGTTCTGGCGTTCTATTTAAACTCTGTGCCTACTGCCTGATTTTTTTCCATTCCAGCCAAAAAACTCAGCTAACTAGTAGACTTGAGAACAATGCTAAATTCCAGGTTGGAAGTGATCTTAGACAGGTATTCCTAATTCCCAGCGACCAATTGAATCAGAATCCTCTGGGGAGCCTGTGACTGCAGCATGCTGGTGCCCCAGCCCAGAACTGCTGATTCAGCAGGTATTGGAGGGAGCCCAGTATTCCCCCAGTGCCTGGAATCTGCTGCCTTGGGAACTCTTGGGCCAGGGCTTCTGCAGGCACCCCTGCAGGTCCTGGGACCCCTGGAATTAGATACAAATTGTCGACTCCATGTGTTTCTGGGAAGGGTTGTATCCATGTTTCTCAACAGATTCTCAAAGGATGCCAGTTCTTAAAAATGGTCACGAGTCACAGGTCTGAGTCAAAACCTCGTGTTTCACAGAGGGATGAAGGACGCGGCCACGGCCGACTGCGCGGAGGTGGCAGAGCCGGGCGCCCCAGATGCTGCATGCTGTCCTCACGCTCTGCTTCCTCCTGCTGATAGATGCCTGCTGACTTTCCCGATTCCTCTGGGGAGCCACCCTGACCCCCTCTATCCCTGTGACTCGTTTGGAGTTAACTCACCCCAGGGCTGTAGGGCTGGGCATGAGGGAGGCCCCCATGCTGCCAATCTGAGTGCCGCTGGCTCCTCCTGGCCTCAGGATGTAGGCTGATCCAAGCCAGGCCAAAGAGAGGCTGCCCCACAGCTTGCCAGAGAGAAACGAGCTTCATTTTTGCTGGGGCTGCTAAGCTGATATATGGGAGCCCGGAGTTGCCTGGGGCCTGCATCCAGAGAGAGCCTGCCTGAGAACGAAGCCCACCCCGAGAGAGCAGAGAGGTGGCGAGAGACACTGGGGCACTGGATCAAGCTGTGCCTGAAGCCAACACACCCCTCAATGTTTCCCTGACATGAATACATAAAATTTCTTTTGCTTAAGCTGGTTTGAGCTGGGTTTCCTGCAATTGTTATCCAAAGGACACCTAATACAGCCAGTCTCTCCAGTGCCACTTGCTTCTGGAAAATGTGTGAACTTTAAAAAAATGTGAGTCCCTGACCCAAATGCTCTCTCTCCTTCAAGGCCAGCTTCTCCCGCTGCCTTTCTTCTCTCTCTCTCATTTTGCCCACGCTGTTTGCTGAGGTTTGCCTCTGCCCAGTTGTAAGAAGCCCCTCACTGGAACCTGATAACAGCTGCAGCCGCCCCTCCACAAAGCGAGCACAATGGTTTCCCCAGCAGCCTGGCGGGCCGGGGAGGAGCTGTGAAAATCCACTCCTTCCCTGCTCACCATTTGCGATAATGATTTCCATTCACAATGTGCCGCAAAATAACAGCCACCAAATAAAACATGCAAGATCGGGGGGTGTCTGAACACGGGGAGCATAGGTGTTTCAACACGCTTTTATCCCTCACACTCCAAACATGCTGGCCCCCGCCTCGCACCCCTAGAACTTGCAAGGCCCAACAGTAACACCAAAACACGGCTGTCACGGCGCCTGACGGCTGACGGCGACGCTCCGGATGCTGACGCCAGTAGAAAGGCAGGCAGTTTGGAAATCCCCAATAATTGACGCCGCTTCATAAACAAACAAGCCCCAATTGAAAGATTTTTAACCCAGCATTTCAAGACCGCTTGTCGTCATTCAAGGGAATGGCTTGTGGAAGGCTGGGAAGATCAGAAGCACAGGGACACCAAACTGGGACTTGAAACTCGTCGCTGGGAAAAGCCTCGCTGGAGAGGAGCTGCACGTCCATGCTGGAAGCTTCTGATTGGCCAGGCTCATGGCGCCACGGTGCCAGAGCCAGGGGCAGGTGGAGCGGGAGCCCAAGCAGGTCTGCCGGGCAATGCTACTCCATGCGTGTCCCCACCTGCCGGTGTTTTGTATTCTGCTACCCATTGACAGTAACACAGCCAGGCAAGGGAGAATGGTGAAGGCAAAGACCACTTAAAGCAGGGCCTGCCTGGCAGAGACCCCCTGGTGTGTTTGAGCAAAGCAGGTGCCTGGATTCCCCGGGGGCGGGAGCTACACCAGCTTCTGGGATTGCAGAATCTCAGGCTGGTGGATGCCTCGGGGGAGGTGGAAGGACCCTGGCAGGCCTTTAATCCCTTGCTACTCAAAGTGGGGTCCCCGGACCAGCAGCATCAGCACCACCTGGGAGCTCCAGCCCCATGGCCCACCCACTGAATTGGAGTCTACATTTTAACAAGACCCACAGTGATTTGTACGCACATCAAGGTTGGAGAGGTGCCACTCTGATCCCGCGGTTCCCAGATTTGTTTGATGTTGAGAACCCTCTGGAGGTCTTGTCTGAATTACAGATTCCGGGCACGCCTCCCAGAGCCACCAAACCAAAACCTCAGGGGAGGGGCTGGGAGGCCAGTATTTGTCAATCAGCAGCTCAGGGGATTCTCTTGCTCAGGCAGGTGTGGGAACCATGGCTCTCTTCTGAGGTCTTACCCTTGGCTGCACCCTGGACCCACTGGGGAAGATTCGAGAATACTAGGCCTGGATCTCACCTCCTAGAGAGTCTGCTATCATTGGCCCAAGGTGAGGCTTGGGAATGGAGAGTTTTAAAAGCTCCTCAAGTGACTGTAGTATATAGCCAAGGTTGAGAACCACTGCTCTGATCCAATCTGCTCAGTGTACAAGATGGGGAACCTGAGTCCCAGGGGGTGAGGGCTCACTCTGTCACCCAGGGCATTGGTGTGAGATACCCAGTGACAGCTGGGATCTTGACCCACCCTCATCATGCCCCTCTGGCCATACTGCCTGGGGCTCTGTTTGGGGAGCAAAGGAAGCCTTCCTCCTCAAAGGCCTTGAAGTTCACCCCCTGCCCCAGAGCTACATTCACTGGAAATTGAGGGATGGAATTTTCTCTGGACCCATGGAAAGACTTGGTAAATTGAGAGAGATGACATACTATAACTGACTTTAAATAAATATGGTGTCCAGTCCTCTCCAGAGGCAGGGGCCTGCCCTTGTTAGCCTCCACTGCGTGCAAAACTCTATACAAAGCACCACAGTGTAACCATACTGAGATGCCACTGTACACCCATTGGGATAGCTGTTAGCAAAAAATCAGCAAATAACAAGTGTTGACAAGGATGAGGAGAAAGTGGAACCCCGGCGCACTGCTTGTGGGAA